GTTTTTCATTGTCAGGACAGATGGATTTGCTGAATATGCTAACGCTGTGAATGAGAAAACAATTTTGGGGGAAGTATACCCACAAGTAATCTGATGACAAAACAAACCACAGACTGATGTCAAATGGGCAAAAACCTGAAAATATGCTGTGAGAAATAGACAACCGAAATAATATAGGGGGTTGTGGGGTGTGGCACAGTTAAGGCATCTAAAAAAAATTCCACATGGCTTTGGCTTATTAAAATATTTTACACTATTTTTTAAAAAAGATTTGAAAGCATCTGAAAAGCATGCAAATTGTTTGAAAACCTTGCATGGCAAATTCAGACAGTTTGCAAGCGTCATTCAGATGCTTGACGAGGAAATGAAAGAAGCCTCTCCCTAAGAGACTGCACGTGGTGGGAGAGGCCTTCCCAGTTCTATCTTACACTAGATGGCAACCCAGAGGTCTGTGCCGAGATGACAAACAAGGCATTATTATCTGGAAGGGAAGGGACCGTGGAATTTCCATCGTCTGGGGAACAACCCCGCTTTAGCTTTTCCAGATACTCTGCATGCACAGGTTTATGACACTGGAGAACTTGGATTGCATCTTCTACTTTGAACCACTCTCTGTTCCTTCCTATATTAGCGGAATCTTCCCAATCTTCTAATATGTCGGTGACTGTTAGAACATAAACATGTGTTCTGTGCTTTCGGTCTTGGTGCTGCTCGAATACGCCCAGAAGTCTGCCTAGTTTTCCTCTGACTCTAGCCTCCTCATAAACTTCCCTGACGGCAGCACCGCCAGGCTCCTTCTCAGGCTCCATTCCTCCTCCTGGGACTGTCCCCTGGTCTGGGCACCCGCAGCACCTGGTCCTCCCGCTCGCTGCGGAAGCACAGGCCCGCCGCCCGCTTCTTGGAGCCCTCGCGGTGGTAGGTCCGCGTCTGCTTGGGCTTGAACTTCATCACAGAGGCGGGCTCCTGCTGCCGCTGCTGCTCCGGCCACCGCCGCGAGGACCCGGGCGCTGCAGCGCCGCCGGGAAGCGGGGCGAGGGTGAGCCGGGCGCAGGGCAGCCGGGCGCGCTGCTGGGTGCGTGAGGCGCCGCGAGGCCGGTCAGTCCCGGGGCGGGCGGCCGCACTGACGCGGGCGGGACGGGACGCTAGCGCGGGTCGCTGGAGCCCAGGTGCCCAGAGGAAGGCGCAGCCTCTGCAGGGGCGACCACCCCTCTCCAGGGAGCTGGCCTCCCTCTCGCCTCCGCTCCCTCCGGCCGCAGTCGCCAGGGGAAGGGCCATGAAATTTCTTCTTTACAGCCAGCAAATTGGTACTGTGGCTCCTCGTCACTTATCTCCTCCATGCATCAGAATAAAATCTTTCCTCGACATAACACAAGATCACTAATAGTAGGGGAACAGGAGATGTAGTGGAAATCTCCATCGCTGAATGACTTTTAGCCTTTCTGCATAATAATGGCAGATATTTGAGTACTTGTTATGGGCAGGGTGCACTCGTAAGGCCTAATTTGTGTTATTCCATTTACTCATAACAACCCTATGAGGTAGATGGAAAATAAACACTGTCTAACAGATTGGTAATAGAATGCATAGAAAAGCTAAGCCAAGTCAACAACTGGTATGTACAGAGCCAGTATTCATATCCAAGTACTGTGGCTACAGAACCCCTACCCTTAACAATTTCGCTAAAGCTGAAGATTCATTTGCTTTAAACTCGTGAACCCCCAGGCTCCACCTCTTTTCCCGTTCCCGCTTTGAAGCTCACAGAATCTCAGTGGGTCATATCCCTCTGCCACTGGGAAGAGAAGGTGGGCAAGGGCAGATGTCTCTACAGATGTGTTACTGGGAAATTGGGTGTCACAACCTTCGCCATTTAATTTGCTTTGTGGTTTTTTGTTTTTTGTTTTTTTTTTCCTGAAAGCCAAATGTGATGTATCTGGTAATAGGACCTAAGGTAATCAGGCTTTTGGTTAATCTGGCTAGGAGCTGAGCTATGTTTAATTTGTTGTAGCTATGCCAGAGGCTTATGTTTCCTCTAGAGTTTGGGTTTTGGTGTGGTTTTTTTCTTCCCTGTTATCTTTAGGCTTCCCTAAGAACTCCTTCTCAAACAGTCGGTAAGAGCTCTCTCAATCGCAGTCCACTGCTGTTATTTTGAAGCCCTGTTGATTCCATGGTAACGTACTGGGGAGGAAAAGTGTGTTCTAAGCTTATGATTAAAACTCAGGGGTTGTTTTAGCGGGTCTGGTCTCTGGACTGACTTTCAGAAGCATTTCTTAGCCTTTTTTAACCTCTCTCCTTGTGTGAGAAGGCTAGGGAGCACTCAATCTGTCTAATTGCTCTGACTTAGGTCAGATAAGGCTCTGGTAAAGGAGTTTCCCTTGAAGTAAGGCCTTTGCTGAGGAGAGCAGAACGCTCTGGATGTATTTAAAAATGGTTTCTTATCCCCTGGGTGTACTGAAAAATTCTTAATTTTCCCCTCTCCCTCCCTAAAGAAGAAAGGGATTTTTCTCTGATCTTCACAGTGAGAACCTGATGAAGTTTCTGGAGTTATATCAGGAAAATGTGGGGAATCCCCACTTAAGACTGGGGTTCCAGGAGTTTTAAACTCTCAGGCTAGTTCACCCTTGGCCTCTGGAAATTTATCAATTACTATTTAAATGTTCCTGCTAGTTACTTATTTCAGTAACTTCTGTTTCTGCTAAGCTGTGATTCTTTGTATTTATCTGCCTTTCCAGTTTTGGAGGCAGTGGTTTGCCCTGTGACTTCAATTTTCTGATGGATCTAAGAATAGCTGTTTTCAGTTTATTCAGCTTTTTTCTTGTGAGGACGCTAGGTGACAATTTCCAAGCTCTTAACATGTTGGAGTGTCATGAGGTAGAATGAATAATCTCACAAAACTTACATAGTGTCTTACTTCATTTGACCCACTGTAACAAAATACTACATAATTTAATAATAATAGAAATTTATTTCTTACAGTTCTAGAGACTGAGAAGTCCAAGATCAAGGTATCAGCAGATCTGGTGTCTGGACAGGGCTCACTCTTTGCTTTGCAGATGGGGTCTCTTGCTGTGTTCTCATATGGCAGAAGGCCAGGACGCTCCCTTCAACTTTTTGTACCAGGACATTAATTCCATTGATGAAGACAGAGCCCTCATGACTTAGTCACTTCCCAAAAGATGCCACCTATTGATACCACAATGGGGATAGGTTTCAACATGAATTTTGGAGCAATACATTCAGACCATAACAGATAGTATCTCTAAATTTTCCTAATTTTTAAAAAATACATCTTATCATTTCAATGACAATACACAGGAAATGTCCCCATCAAATGATAGTTGATTCTGACAGCACATTTGGAGATTTTATTTCATTTTTAACACCAGGGTTTGGGCCCTTCTCCAGGCCAACTGAATCAGAATTTTTAGGGGTTAGGCTTGAATATCTACCCCTGTCCCTACCCCAGCTTTTTAATGTGAAAACCATGCCATAGGGCAATGGTTCTCAAACTTAAGTGTGCATCTCAGAATTACCTGGAAGATTTGCAATTCAGATTGCAGGGCCCTGCCTCCAGGAATTTCTGACCCAATGGGAGTAGGGCGGAGCCCAAGAATTTATATGTCTAACAAGTTACAGATGATGCTGATGTTGCTGGCACTGGACCACATTTAGCAAACCACTACCACAGCAGATCCTAAAAAGAAATTGCAACATTTGAAATCCATGATTTGCTTATACCTCTTGCAAAACGTGACACCATAATTTCCCATTTTTCTGTGAACTCTGGTTGATTAGGTCAAAATGCTGAGTTAGGGCTCCCCATTTTTTTTCTTTTGGTATATTAAATTTTTCTATTTTTCAGGGTTCTGTCTATGGCCAGGTTTTCTGTACATGACACTAACTTACCTTCTGGGTGATCTTATATATTTGCATAGTTTATTTCATCTAAATGCTGATTATTAAAAAATCGATTTGTCCAATTGGATTTCTCTCCTGAGCTTCACATCTGTATTTTCAATTGGTTGCTTGACATATCCACGAAGATGTTTCCCAAAAAGCTGCACTCAGCCTGTCTGCATCTGAGATATGACACCAAGATATATTCTATTTTTTCAAGCCAGAAACCTGCATGTCAACTCCGATTTCTTTTCCTTATCCCTCTCTCAAAATGGTCTCCAAAGCCTACAAAAACTATTTCCTTAATAACTCTCAAATCCATTTCACTCCACTTATGCCACTGTCTATGTTATACTATTCGGTTGGTGCAAAACCCACACCAACCTACACTTCTGACTGAATGGCAAACCCACAATTGCTTTTGCACCAACCTACACTTCTGACTGAATGCTCCAATGAGATGATCTCATTTTATAAAATCTAAAGCTAGAACTGTAGCATTGGTGAGAAGGAATACAAACTAATTTATTACTGATACCTCTTATACCACCCATGAACCAGTGCTCTCCAGTATGCTAGTGACAGAGGTTCCTAATTTGAGCTAGTGTGTCCTGCACTGGAAAGCTGGGTCTTTGTGGAAAGGCTGGAGTAGGTCCAACAGAGGTCTATTTGCATGAATGGCCAAGGAAGCTCCTGGGAAAGAATTCACTGGAAGAGAAGAGAATCTGAAGGTGGGAGTCATATAGGGAAGTTGCCTCAGCAACCAAAATTCAGTTACTGAGAGAAGGAAAATAATTAAATATAGCAGATGATTTGTTTCTCTCCACCTCGTGCCTCTGTGAACTTAAGTCCTCTGTAGGAGTTAGATCTGCAAGTAAATACATGAAATGAACATTTGCCAGTTGTTAAGCACCAAACCCTCTTGGTGTTTCAGCAAGCTGAAACCTTATCCATTCCCAGGCCTGGCATTTCAACAGGTTGGCAGCCTGTTAGTTTACAGACATCTTTTAACAATCTTGGGTTTGGCCATCCAGAAGGCCTCTTTCTGCTCAGGGTTTCTGCAGTGTCTTTGGATGACCTGTTAGCAACCAGTGGCTGGTCTGTTATCATGGGCTCATGTCCTTCGCCAGAAGGGCAATTTGCTCTCGCTGCTGCCGCTCCCCTTCCCGCATTTTGCTCTGGCTTCGACACCTCAGCAACTCAGCCTTGTGGTCCTGGTGATGCATAGGGCAGTAGCTCTGTGGTTCACACAACTCCGTATATTCTGGAAAGAAGTCTCTGTAGCCGCCTTTAAGGATATATAGCTCTGGGTAGTACAATACAGGATACTGGTTCAGAGATCTGTCCTCTTCTTGGAGAGAACGGCACATTCAGGGTCCCCTCTCTGAGGAGAATTCACAGTGGAACACGATGATTATTCTCTTCTGGGTGTCCAAAGGGACAATGGGCTTCTTTAGAAAGAAGTTAAATAGTTCTTCCTGACTATACAAGTTTAAGGCTCCCTGGATGTGTCCTCCCAGGTACTCATATGGATAGCGACAATCAGTGACATAAAACTTCTCAATCAGACCCTGGAAATTCCCCAACAGTAGGGCAGCCACTGTTTCTGGGTTGACATACTTCAGATCTTGGTGTTTCCCTGACACGGTTGGCAGTGCACATATCTTGGAAAAATCACCAATCAGATGCCCTTGGTTAGAATCTTCCTCCAGCATCTCAATGATATTAATGTCACACAGAGAGACTGTCTTCTTTAAATGTAAGCCCTTCCTGAGCTTTCCTTGGCCAGAAAAATACTTTTTTTTAACTTTATCTGGCATTGCATTGTCCTTGCATTTGTCCACCTGCTTCAGTCTTAGCCTATTCAAGTTCTCCGGCATGGAAGGGGAGCGATATAGGCAGCTTCTGTTCACTGAGGCCTTGGCTTCTTGACCTTCCAGGGAAAACTCCATTAATTCATCTGAAATCTCTTCTGCCTGACCTTCTCCTAGTTTTGGATTTTTATCCAATTTTAGAACAGCAGTAATAGGACTGCCCAGATATTTCATTTCACTGTCCACCAAGTTTCCATTGTCCAGCAGAGATAAAGGAGACACATAAGGCTCCCCTGATCTCTTTTGAAATCTCAGGTTCCTGGGTGCGTGCCACTCCAACGGCCTCAAAGTGCTGTTTTCATTTTCTTTATTTGCAAATGAGCTACACATTGCATCTCTCTTTCTATGGCCACGGTCCAAACCATTTGGAGTGCTACAAAAAAGCTGTGCTGGGCTACTTTTCATTAGGTGCTGGTGATGATTCATCCCAGCTAACTGTACTTCCTGAAGTCCTGAAGAATCCAGGTGACCAGTTTCATCAAGGTCTGCAGAAATGGTAAGCTGAGTGGCAGATATCTCCCCACTGCTAAGACTTGAAAGATCAAGGCAGCGTTTTGGGGTTCCTCCAGACAAAATGCTTAGGTTTGTAGAATCACCAAGAAATTCACCCACTGGAGTTCTAGAGACACCTGGACAGACGGTAAAGGAAGTGTCTCTCTCCAGGAACAGGTTTAATATTTTCCTTTGATTAGACCTAAAACTGGGTCCTGAGCCACAGCTTCCTTCCTCTCTTAAGGATGAGAAGAGTTCTGCAGACATGGTCTTCGAGTTCTCACAGGAGAAAAACAAAACCTCAAGCCTGGAGTCTGAGGCATGCCATCGGGAGGAAGGAAAGTGGGTAGGGGCCGAACACAGGCGGAGACTCGAGCAGAATAAAGGAAATCTGGGGGAAAGTAGACAGTTAACCAAACTGTAAGATGGGACCATTGGCACATGCCACCACGCCCTGCTAATTTATTATTGGCGCTTGAGGCTACAAGTCCAAGTATCTTCAGCTCAAGAAGAAGTTAGAAGATGAGTTCCCCAGCCGCCTGGACATCTCCGCCGAGGGAACTCCCCAGGCCACCGGGTTCTTCGAAGTAACGGTAGCTGGAAAGTTGATTCACTCTAAGAAGAAAGGCGATGGCTACGTGGACACAGAAAGCAAGTTTCTGAAGCTGGTGGCTGCCATCAAAGCTGCCTTGGCTCAGGGCTAACGTGCCCTGAAGGCAGAGTCCAGGGACCTTAATCCAGTCCCTCTCAGCAGATGTTTCATGACAGGAAGGAGTGAAATGCCTCATGGACGCCTGGTCCTTCCCCCATGCTCTTGTGGCTGCTGTTGGGGGCAGAGATTGATGCCGTTGCTCTCTGCCTCTGTGTGTGTGTCTTCCCCGGGCTCCACACTGCCCCACCCTCCTCCTTTCCCCCGATTTAATCAGATTTCTGTGCACAACCCATGTTTCCCCGGTTGTCCCCCGGAGTTTGGGGGACATCCCGCCTCAGGCATCCTTCTTAAGGGGAAGCCAAGAGAGGCATCAGGATGGGTGAGTGTCTGATTGTGGCAAAGTTTGCAGCTGTTCACAATTCAATAAATTCAATAAATATTGGACAAGTTTAACTGAAAAAAAAAATGCCACTCAACTAAAACACTGTGGTTTTTTTTTTTTTTTGACCTTAAAAATAATAATTGAACCACACAGATGTCTTCCCCTCTCCTCCCCACAGACACAGAAAAACACTTGGCTGAGTAGGGTTGGGATCTGAGGGTCCATAAGCCTCCGTCCTGGGACAAGGCAGCGGTGTAGGCCCAGGTAGGAGGGAGGGGCAGTGTCCTTTCTCCCCGAAGGAAAAGTGCAGAGCCAGGGCCTTGGAGGCCCCCCTCTCACAGCAGATTGGCAACGGGCAGGTGGGAAGGCGTGCTTCACAGTGGCCATGCCCTGAGGGGCTGGGCCGGGCCTGTGTGCTGCAGCTCTTGGGAGGCTCAGGAGCACGGTGGGCAGATGGGGAAACTTGGAGGCATTGACCAGTCTGGCCTTCAGGCTCAGGGTGTCCATGACAAAGCCCAGCCTCTTCCCCTCCCAAGGGTGTTTCTTCTTTAGAACCTCAATCTAGATAATGGAGCCAACACCCAATGATCTGGTATCCTCCCTCTCCTCCATAAGGGCAAGGGCTGGGTGTCTTGGTCTAACTATATCTCCCAGGTCTAGCACAGATGCATAGCATGGCAAAGCCTTGGCAAACATTTAATGGATGGGTGGATGGACCCGTTTACTTCCTTTCCACGAGGGTTTTCTGGCTTGGTGAATGAAGGAGATCACGCTTAAAAAAAAAAAAAAAGTACATATTACAAGTGATAGACACTAAAGGTAGCTTAAGTAAAAAAAGGAATTACTGGTTGGGAGTGGTGCCTCACACCTGTAATCCCAGCACTTTGGGAGGCCGAGGCAGGTGAATCACGAAGTCAGGCATTGGAGACCAGCCTGGTCAACATGGTAAAACCCCATCTCTACTAAAAATACAAAAAATTAGCCAGGTGTGGTCGTGGGTGCCTGTAATCCCAGCTACTTGGGAGGCTGAGGCAGGAAAATAGCTTGAACCTGGGCAGCGGAGGCTGCAGTGAACCGAGATCACACCACTGCACTCCAGCCTGGTGACAGAGCGAGACTCTATTTCAAAAAAAATAAGGAATTAGTGGTTCACCTAACTGGGAAGAACAGAAGTGAACTAGCAGTCTAACATAAATGGGCCTAGATTAAGCTAATAATAGGATTTGACCATGGTTCAAGGTGGGAAGAAGAAGCTAACGTGATCTTCTGGGTGAGATCCTTTGGGCCAGTTCGATGCAGTGTTGTTACGGTTTCCACTGATGTATCATTGCTGCTGATGTTTCACATGCTTGTACTGAGAATGATGGTAAAGTTCAGAGGGTCTAAGGTTAAATTTTACAGTTGCATGCTGGTTCAAGGGCAGGACTGATCTTTAGAGGCAACAGATATTTTCAGGTCTTAGGAAAGTTGTCAGGAAAGGATGGGGAGCCTGGATTCAGGGCAAGCAGAAGGAGGAGTCTGTGGAGGGCAGAAGGAGAGAGATCACAAGGATAGGGCAGAAGAGGGAGGGCTGGATATAGGGAAGCAGCTGAGAACAAGCAGTGGGGAGGTTTACTAGGGAAATGAATCTAGTTTGTTATTGCTTAAGTTTGTCCAATTCCTCATTAGCTTTGGCCAGATAGTTTTTTAGTGAACCAATTATTGAATCAGAATTTCATTCAGAGGCCTCCACATACCAATAAAAAAGTAGTGTTCACTGAAAAAAAAAATTGATTTATTGTCACTGATTATTTCCCGCTTCCTCGAACTAGCTGCTGATCGTTCCGTACCTTGGTTTTCGGCATGCCTGAGCCAGCGAAGTCCGCTCCCACCCCGAAGAAGGGCTCCAAGAAGGCGGTGACCAAGGCTCAGAAGAAGGACGGCAAGAAGCGCAAGCGCAGCCGCAAGGAGAGCTACTCCATGTACGTGTACAAGGTGCTGAAGCAGGTGCACCCCGACACCGGCATCTCCTCCAAGGCCATGGGCATCATGAACTCCTTCGTCAACGACATCTTCGAGTGCATCGCCGGCGAGGCTTCCCGCCTGGCGCATTACAACAAGCGACCATCGCTTCCCGGGAGATCCAGACGGCCGTGCGCCTGCTGCTGCCCGGGGAGCTGGCCAAGCACGCCGTGTCGGAGGGCACCAAGGCCGTCACCAAGTACACCAGCGCTAAGTAAACTTGCCAAGGAGGGACCTTTTCTGGAATTTCCTGATCTGATCAAGAAAGCTTCTTACCAAAAAAAAAAAAAAAAAAAAAAAAAAAAAAAAACACAGAACTTTTTTTTTCGGTGGCATTTTTTCTCCCCCCAGGAAAAATAACTTTATTTGGACTGACAGCTGGAGAATGAGAATAGAACCTGACACAGTATATTGGGCTAACGAGCAGAGGTGACGTTCCAAAACGGCAGTCAAAGCTCATCGACCAAACGGACTGTACTTCCCAGCAACCTTGCAGTTAGTGCAACCAACAAAAGGCCTGCTGGGGAATGTATTTGTCACTAAATTCTCCATGCATGCCAACATCACAAAAAAGATAGAGGTTCTTCATCATAATTAAATTTCCACAAACCCCTCAATCACAAGTATTATAAGAGGAAGTAAAAATCACATTTTATAGATCTCAAACTTGTCTTCAACATTGAGTTCATTATCTTCAAAAAACAGCCCCCCTGCTAAACTCATTAGCTATATGATCTGCCCCAGCAGCAAGAGGACGGCCATGCCACGGCAATCATCTTCCCATTTTCCCTAGGCACTCAGGGCTGAACAGCAGGGTGAGGCTCAGGTGGGAGTGGGGGAAGGGAGCACAAAGGCTACTTTCCCCTAGTATAACATGGCATCTGAAGCTTGATGGGAGAGCAGAACTGGTGAGACTTGAGGGAAGGGTCCAGGGCCTGTATTCAGTCAGAGTCACTGCTGGAAGAGGAGGAGGAAGAGGAGGAATGCTTGCCATGCTTGTGGTGCTTGTGCATCTTTTTATGAGCTTTCTTCATTTTCTTCTGCATCATCTTGTCCACTATCACTGTTGGTCCAACCATGCCAGGAGCCAAGGGATTCACAGGAGGCATTCCAGGGGCAGGGGGTGGGTATGGAGGAGGGTAGGGACCACAGGGTTGGCATCCTGGATACCCTGGCTGTGGCACAGCAAGAGGGGGCCCACATGGGGCGGGGAACTGGATTGCAGTGGGGAGCTCCTGGGGGAGGAGGATAAGGGCCTGGGGGAAAAGACGGATTGACAGGTGGTGGGTGGGCAGGACTGGAACTTGAGGGCACCCGATGTTGGGGGCATATGGATTTGGCTCTGGCTGTCCGGCATTGGGGTTCCACATGTTTAGGTGTGTCCTCCACCCTTTCCACCACCGCCTGGGCTTCAGTACATTACTGAAGGTAATATTTTTTTCTTTATTAATTTTAATGGTATAACAAGAGCGGCATATCATTTTGACATAAGGAGTTCAAAGTTACTATGCAAGCACTCTTCCATTAATCTTTAAAATATATTTCCTGGGTGAGCAGCCAACGTAATCCTGGCTAAACAGATAAGAAAATAGCCGGTGATAAGGTGACTTGTTTAAAGCTGCACAACAAATCAAGACTGAAGCAGGCGCTCCGGTCCTCACCAGCTCCGTGAGCGCCTCTGCTGGCCCAGGATCATACTGGCAGCAAGGCGGGTGCTTCGGAGTTGGGAATCACTTGATAAAAGGACCTCATTCTGGTAACTTCTGGAAAGTTCAGATGAGAATTCCACAAGCGAAGAACATATATATTTTCTGTCACATCAGTATTTTGAGCTGTGTTCCTCCCTTGCATGACATCAGCTTTTAATTATTTAGAGAATAATTATCCATTTGTGGCTTATCAATTCCCCTTCCTTCTCTCCTGCTTCCTGTCTTTGGGCCATTTCACTGCTCATTAATATTTGCAACAGAGGCCAGATCAGCTTGGCTGGTAAGCCCTTCTAAGTTGGAGGGGCTTTTTTCTTTTTCAGAAAAAGAGATGGCATCTCACCATGTTGCCCAGCCTGCTCTCGAATTCCTGGGTTCCAGCGATCCTCTTGTCTGGGCCTCCCAACATGCTAGGATTACCGGAATGAGTCACTGCACCTCAATTGCATCACTGGAAGAACAGGGCAGGCTGGTACAGAAGGCAGAGCTGGTACGGCTGTCCCAGACACTGAGCCTGGTGCCCCGGCTACATTGGCTGCTGGTGGAGGACGCTGAGGGTCCCACCCCACTGGTCTCAGGGCTGCTGGCTGCCTCTGGCCTTCTCTTCGCACACCTGGTGGTCCTCACGCCCAAAGCCCAGCGGCTTCGGGAGGGCGAGCCTGGCTGGGTTCATCCCCGTGGTGTAGAGCAGTGGAACAAGGCCCTGGACTGGCTCCGGGGCAGAGGGGGAGCTGTGGGTGGGGAGAAGGACCCACCACCACCAGGGGCCCAGGGAGTTGTGTACTTTGCTGATGATGACAACACCTACAGCCGGGAGCTGCTTGAGGAGATGCGCTGGACCCGTGGTGTCTCAGTGTGGCCTGTGGGGCTGGTGGGTGGCCTGCGATTCCAGGGCCCTCAGGTCCAGGATGGCCGGGTTGTGGGCTTCCACACAGCATGGGAGCCCAACAGGCCCTTCCCTGTGGATATGGCTGGATTTGCTGTGGCTCTGCCCTTGCTGTTGGCTAAACCCAATGCCCAGTTTGATTCCACCGCTCCCTGGGGCCACCTGGAGAGCAGTCTTCTGAGCCACCTTGTGGATCCCAAGGACCTGGAGCCACGGACTGCCAACTGCACTTGGGTACTGGTGTGGCATACACGGACAGAGAAGCCCAAGATGAAGCAGGAGGGGCAATGCAGCAGCAGGGCCGGAGCTCAGACCCAGCAGTTGAGGTGTGATGGCCCCACCCCAACTCCCACGTCTTTTCAGGCACAGACCTTGTGGGACTGGACCCTGGGCCTTCCCAGGATGCGGCTTTCCAAGTCCTGACCCTTTCGAGCCAGAAGTGGCCCCTCTGCCCTTCCAGGCCCATAGCATGGCCCTGCTGCTTTGCCCCTCCCCCGGCCTGCCATGTGGCACTGCCCACAGGCTGGGGACAAGCAGCCCTTGTATTGAGCCAGCTCAGCCCTGTCTAAGGTGGAGTAGAAGGACAGACGGACTCAAGAGGGAGGGCACCTGAGTAACTGGGTAACTTATTGGGGCTGGGCATGCACTAGGGGGCTGGAGGAGCTGGGCTGGACCCTCCCCACCTGAGCATGCTGATCCCCTCCTACCTCCAGAATAAAGAATCTCAACCTGGAAAAAAAAAAAAAAGTGTTTTTATTTATTTATTTATTTTTATTTTTTTATTTTTTTGACAACAGCGGCTTCTTTACTCCCTGAAGTCCTCTTTTCTCCACAGAATATTTACAAACAGGGACGGGGTGGGGGCCACTTCTGCCACCAAATAAGGGGCTAGGGAGGGGGGACAGTGCTAAGATGTGCCTCTGCTCAGGGAGAGTTCCTGAGGAGGGCCCAGTATGACCTGGGTGCGCTCAGGGGCCCAGGTGGTTCCAAGCTTGTCCACAGCCAGGCAGCAGCAGCCCCCACGGCTCAAGCCAGGTCAGCAGTGGGTGAGCCCAGCTTCTTGGAGGCCAGAAGCAGGCACGTGGCTGTGCTCGCAGACTCCGCCTGCAGCCGCCGATTGCTGTGTCTCAGGCTCCGCACCTCCTCCTCCAGGGCTGCCCTGTCTGCCTTCTCCTTCTGCAGGTCCTCCTGCAGCTTCCTGAGCATGGACCCAAGTGAGAGACCTTCTCTGAGAGGCTCCCAGGCTCTGGCTCAGCATCAGACTTTGGAGTTCCCTTAGGGTCTCCACTCTCTGGGATGAGCTGTCTCCTGCTAATGGAGTTCCGCAGAGACAAGGTACGTGGCAGAAAGGAGGCCCTCAGCTCTGGGGCCGGGTTCCCCTTGTCCTCAGAGCCACTGGGACTGCCTGGCCCATCCTTCAAAGTGGTCTGACTTCCCATACCTTCTGCTGAACAGATTTCCAGGAGCATGTGTGCCACCCTAGTGTGCTATTCTGTTCGAGGTCCTGTTTCTTGACTTTGGCCAAGTCCTATCATGAGATAATGCAGGAAAAGTCTGAGTTTTAATATTAGGGGAGCATCCATAGATGAAAGAGAGGAAATAATCTGCTATATTTAGGAGCAAATAAAAATTTTATGAGTGGGAAGGTCTTACTGAAATGTTTGCTAGTCTGTGAATCCTCTAGTCTTTTTTGGCTTCATTTGATGTATTATAAGATGAAACATTATTTTTACCTCAAATATTTACTTTCAAATGAAAATTTTAAACATCCCTGTGTTTTGCTGTATCTTTCTTTGATGTTGACTGAATAGATGGCTGTACCATACCTTGCAATTGAAGATGGGTTTATTTTGTAAATTATTTTTCTCTCTATTCTTGCCTTTTCAGGAAAAAAAAAAAAAAGAAAGAAAAAAGAGGTACATATGCTGCCGTTATCGTTTTACCAGCAAACCACCTGCCATGCAATGCATTGACAGCAGCAATAGCTGCAGCAATTGACGGGCACTTCACATACAAGCTCCTCAGCGGAGCGCGTGACGGGGGCTGCAGATTTTCTCCACCATGGCCAGACGCCCCCGGAGCAGCAGGGCCTGGCACTTCGTCCTGAATGCAGCCCGCCGAGACGCAGAGGCCCAGGCCGTGGCTCTGGCAGGCTCCCCTAACTGGGGCTACGACTCTGATGGGCAGTACAGCGACTCGGACTCAGACCCCGAGTACTCCACGCTGCCGCCATCGATCCCCAGCGCGGTGCCCGTGACTGGCGAGCTGTTCTGTGACTGTGCCGGGCAGAGCGAGGCTTCCTTCTGTAGCAGCCTGCACTCAGCCCACAGGGGCAAAGACTGCCGCTGTGGAGAGGAAGACGAGTATTTAGACTGGGTGTGGGATGACCTGAATAAGTCATCAGCCACCCTGCTGAGCTGTGACAACCTCAAGGTCAGTTTCCATATGGTCAGCTGCGGCACAGCGGCCATCCGGGGCACCAAGGAGCTTGGGGAGGGCCAGCACTTCTGGGAGATCAAGATGACCTCGCCCGTCTACGGCACCGACATGATGGTGGGCATTGGGACGTCGGATGTGGACCTGGACAAATACTGCCACACGTTCTGCAGCCTGCTGGGCAGGGACGAGGACAGCTGGGGCCTCTCCTACATGGGCCTCCTCCACCACAAGGGCGACAAGACCAGCTTCTCCTCAAGGTTCGGCCAGGGCTCCATCATTGGCGTGCACCTGGATACCTGGCACGGGACACTGACCTTCTTCAAGAACAGGAAGTGCATAGGCGTGGCAGCCACCAAGCTGCAGAACAAGAGGTTCTACCCGATGGTGTGCTCCACCGCGGCACGAGCAGCATGAAAGTCACCCGCTCCTGCGCCAGCGCCACCTCTCTCCAGTACCTCTGCTGCCACCGCCTTCGCCAGCTGCGGCCGGACTCGGGGGACACGCTGGAAGGCCTGCCCCTGCCGCCAGGCCTCAAGCAGGTGCTGCACAACAAGCTGGGCTGGGTCCTGAGCATGAGCTGCAGCCGCCACAAGGCTCCAGCGCCCGATCCCCAGGCGGCAGGATCGGCCCGCCCCAGCAGTCCCGAGCCCCGGCCCTGCCAGAGGAAGCGCTGCCGCCGGACCTGACCGACTTCCCAGTGGCTGCCTCCCTAGGCTGGGACAGCCATTTTCTCTGTTCCTTCTGGCCACACTCCAGGGTGGAGTTGGATGAGCCATCTCTCACCTCCTGAGTCTGGGTCAGTCCTTTCTGTGGGGGCTCCAGGGCCCTTCCACTGCTGTGCTGGGTGGGGAAGCAGCTGCCCCAAGCCCCAGGTCTCCTGGGAGGCTGCGAGGAGAGCCTGGCTGGAGCCCGCTGTTCCCACAGGGCCTTTGTTGTTCCTAACTTACTCTGCATGCTGTCAGGAGCCTCCCGCAAGCGGGTAACAAGGAAGCTCTTAAGAACGCAGCCGTAAAGAAGTTGAGTTACAGACATCCTGCCAAAATGATTTCTTCAACGTCCAGATTTGGCATACCCTATGGCCTCAAGACTCTACTCGAAGGAATTAGCAGAGCCACTATCAAAAGCAACCCATCAAACATCAACCAGTTCGCAGTAGTTTATTTTAAAGAACTTACTATGTATAGAGAAGGGAATACTTCTCTGGATATAAAGGATCTGGTTAAACAATTTCATCAGACTAAAGTACAGAAGTGGTCAGAAGAATCAACACTACCGAAGAAAGTAGAATGTTTAAAAGAACTGGAAAAAACATCTGTAGAATCTAAAGTACCTACACGGATGGAAAAATCTACAGACACAGAGGAGGACAATGTAACCGGAACAGGATATAATGACAAAACCATCCAGTTTCCATCATCAACTTCTGCTGAGCTAGGTGCTGAGCAAACTGAAGCAGTTCATGATTCTTCTCCCAAAGCAGCTACCCCTAAGACTACCAGCCCACCCTCCTCACCGCCTCCAACAGCTGTCTCACCAGAGTTTGCCTATGTCCCAGCTGACCCAGCTCAGTTTGCTGCTCAGATGTTAGCAATGGCAGCAAGTGAACCAGAACAGCCACCACCATATTCCAACATGTGGACCCTTTATTGTCTAACTGATAAGAATCAACAAAGTCACTCATCACCGCCACCTGCACCTGGGCCTTTCCCCCAAGCAACCCTCTACATATCTAATCCTAAGGATCCGCAGCTTCTGCAGCATCCACCAACAGTCACTTCAGTTTATGTGACGGATGACACAAAGAAGATCAGTGCCCCACCTTTTATCTTAGGAGGCTCAAATGTTCAGAAAGCACAGGAATGGGAACCTCTTCCTGGGCATGCTGTTGTTTCGCAGTCAGATGTCTTGAAGGGATATGCTGCAGCGCAAGTGCCCATTGCTGTTCCTGCAGATGGGAAATTCCAGAAGCATACTCTAAGTCCCCACAATGCTAATTCTCCAAGTGGACAAGATGTCCCCAAGCCAAAAAGCCCTGTTTTTCTTTCTGCTGCTTTCCCAGTAGAAGATGTAGCTAAAAAAAGTTCAGGATCTGGTGACAAATGTGCTCCCTTTGGAAGTTACGGTATTGCTGGGGAGATAACTGTGGCTACTGCTCACAAAGTTCACAAAGCAGAAAGTGAAAACTGATCCAGCAATGACGCTGTTTGAAGGGTCAACATTCAGGGAGGAGTCTGCCACCAA